ATGGACCGCGAGATCATGACCTGAGCCGAAGTCGGACACTCAACCGACTGAGCCACCCAGGTACCCCCCTACAGACAGTTTTTAAAGCCAAAGGGATAAACAGAAGTTTCAGAGACTCAATGAGTAGTGAAGGTCAGGAAGATGAGGAGGGCTCAGGCAAAGGATGCTGGCGAGGGCGACCCCTGAGACAACAGCCTGAGACCAGACGGAGAGCTACTGGTGCGCTCGACAAGAGCCGTTGCAGAGGAAGGTGGAGGGACAGAGCCCGATGAGAGTAGGTTCATGGGAGTGTGTGAGAGGAAGACGTGTCAGTGAGCTCGATGGCTCGTCCTGAAGACTTTCTGTCAAACGGATAGAGAAATGAGGCCGTAGCAGGAGGACAAAATGTTGTCTCTGAGGAGAGACCTACAACCTTATGTCTGTGGGATGACTGGGTGACCCAAGAGACAGGCAACAGCTGATAATGCAGAAGAGGGGAGAATTGCTGGAAAAAGCGTAAAATTTGCAAAGCTCATGCGGAGGTGGTAGGAAACTGAGGCACGGGAGTCCACCTGCCTCACAGAAGGAAGGTAGAGAACACGACTTAGTGGACTGGCCGGCAGGGACACGTGGACACCCTCGTGGGCGCTTCTCAGTGAAATGAGTGGGTGAGAGCTGGCAGAACGCAGGAGACGAGCAGAGTGGGTGGATGGAATAAGGAAATGAGAGACGGTCTCGGGGTGTCGTTAGGCGGTCAGGAATTTAAAGAAAGGCCAGTCAGTGAGGGGGTGTTCTTTTTGTCTAGCTGCTCCCCGCTGCCTAGTAGAAAGGGCAGAAGGTAGGCAGAGAGGGAGGTGTGATGAGGCTGGGGTTTGTGGGTTTGCCGGCGCAAACACACAAGCCACAAAGCCTGTTGTGGCTTAAACAGCAGACACTTATTGTCTCACGGTTGTGGAGCCTCACATCAAGGTATCCATGGGGCTGATTTCCTCTGAGTCCTCTCTCCCTGGCTTGTACACGGCTGCCCTCTTGCTGTGTGCTCACACGGTCTTCCCTCTGTGTGTCCCCGTATCTCCATTCCAATTTCTTCTTCTTCTTAGGGCACCGGTTTTATCAGATTAGGGCCCACCTTAATGACCTCATTTTGACTAAAATTACCTCTTTCAAGGCCCCATCTCCAAATCCAGTCACCTTCAGCATTGAAATGTGGGGCAAGGGGGACACCCATCAGCCGATCACCCCAGGTAAGTACAATGGAGTAAGAGAAAAGCAAGGAGGGAAGCAAAGATGGGATTTTAATAATGGGCCATCTCTCCAAAGGCCCGCAGAAACTGAAGTCAGGGCAGAAGGAGGGTTTGAAACACTGAAGAGGAGAGCCCAGGTCTGGGGAGGTCCTTAGGAGGCCAAAATGTTGCTAGAGGAGGGAACATCTCCACTCACAAGTCGCTCCTTCCAAAACTGAGCTGTTCACCTTCCTCCTTCAAACCAGTTCCCGTCTCCTTTTCTAGTTGTTGTTGTTGTTTAGATAAGCTCCATGTCCAATGTGGGTCTTGAACTCATGATCCTGAGATCAAAAGTTGCATGCTCTACTGACCGAGCCAGCCCGGTGCCCTTCCTTTTCTGGTCTTTTGAAATCTGGCAAAAAGAATCCACATCCCCACTCCATGGCTCAAATCTTCTGCGCT